GTGAGTCTCATGTTCATTTTATAGAATTTTTCAAGTATATTTACATGAAAAAAGTTAGATTGATTTAATAATTATAATATTGAGGCACCATTTGGCAATGCAAAATTGGGGCTATTGTAGCCACTACGGGACAAAAGAGGCTAAAGTAGCCAAATGGAGACAAAAGCCACTGCAATTGATTGGCAACAACCCACTTCAAGGTAAATTTACCAAATTACCCCCACATACCACAAATAAAAACAAATTAATGTATACAAATAAAAATAAAAATGACAAAAACATAAATTAAAAAAAAAAAGAACCACAAAAAATACGCCTCATCCACAAAAAAAATTAAAAACAAAAATTAGCATTTTCCATGTAATTTAAAAAAAAAACACATGAAAACCCATTTTTGAAAAATAAAAACAAATTAATGTATATAAATAAAAAAAATGACAAAAGCGTAAATAGAAGAAAAAGAACCACAAAAATATGCCTCATCCAAAAATTAGCATTTTCCACGTCATTTAAAAAAAACATAAAAAATCCTTTTCCAAAAACAAAAAACAAATTAAAACAAAAAAACAAAAAAAAAAACCAAAATTATCATTTTTCAGGTCATTTGAAAAAAAAAAAAAACAACATAATAAAGCCTTTTCCAACAAAAAAAAACAAATAAAAAACAACAACAACAACAAAAACACATTAAAATGAAACTGAAATAAACATTATCAACGTCATTTAAAATTAAAAAACAAGAAAAAACCTTTTCAAAAAAAAAATTAAACAAAATAAAAAGTCAATAAAATGAATCCGAAATTAACAGTTTCCACGTCATTTCAAAAAAAAAATGAAAAAGCCTTTTCCAAAATAAAAAAAAAAACAAATTAATATATATATATAAAAGAAGACAACAACATAACACCCAAATTTACATTTTCAACATCATGCTAAAAAAAACAAAACATAAAAAAGCTTTTTCCAACCCCCCCCCCCAAAAAAAGCAAATTGAAAACAATAAAAAAAATGACAAAAACGTAAATGAAAAAAAAAGAACCACAAAAATATGCCTCATCCAACCAAAATAAATAAATAAATAAATTTAAAAATAAAAATTAGCAGCTGCCACATAATTTTAAAATAAATAAAACACATAAAAAATCATTTTTGAAAAATAAAAACAAATTAATGTATACAAATAAAAATAAAAATGAAAGAAATGTAAATTAAAAAAAAAAGACCATCAAAAATACGCCTCATCCAACCAAAATAAATAAATAAATAAATTTAAAAACAGAAGTTAGCAGTTGCCATGTAATTTTCAAATAAATAAAACACATGAAAAATTATTTTTGAAAAATAAAAACAAATTAATGTATACAAATAAAAATAAAAATGAGAAAAACGTAAATTAAAAAAAAAAGAACATCAAAAATACGCCTCATCCAAAAAAATAAAAAAATAAAAACAGAAATTAGCATTTGCCACGTAATTTAAAAATTAATAAAAACTCATGAAAAACTATTTTTGAAAAATAAAAACAAATTAATGTATATAAATAAAATAAAAATGACAAAAACATAAATTAAAAAAAAAAGAACCAAAAAAATACGCCTCATCCAAAAAAAAATTAAAAACAAAAATTACCATTTGCCACGTAATTTACAAATAAATAAAACACATGAAAATCCATTTTTAAAAAATAAAAACAAATTATTGTATACCAATAAAAATAAATAAGACAAAAACATAAATTAAAGAAAAAGAACAAATTAATGTATACAAAAAGAAAAATGACAAAAATATAAATTAAAAAAAAAACATAAAAATACGTCTAATTCCCCCCAAAAAAAAATCCGCACCAATGACACTGACGTGGAAGATGTATGGCAAGGAGTAAAAATATAAAAAATCACTTCATAGGCAGTTTGGTCATTCACCATGAAGACACCTCACCAAAAAGCTAAAAAGTCAAAAAAATCAAAAAATCTTTCCCAAATCAAGCTTTTTAGCCCAGACTAAAATAGCCAAAAAATCAAAAAGCCAACCCACTTTCCAAACGTAAGCTGAGTGAACACTAATAAATTTTAAATAGTAATTTTATAAATTGTTTGGTCTTTTTTTTTTTCTTGTAGACCCAAAGGTTCTATTTTAGTGTAAATTACATAAAAAAACAAAGTATAAACGCACATGTGTTATATGTTGAAAGACAAATATGAATTTTCTTATAATGTTAAAATTACTAAACATAACACTTCAAAAAAATTCTTTAATGTATTTTTCTCAAACATAACACTCCAAAAATGTAAAACTCTAATATAACACACTCCGTTTGGGAAGTGGGTTGGCTTTTTGACTTTTTGGCTTTTTTGGCTATTTTAGCCTGGGCTAAAAAGTTTGGTTTGGGAAGGGCTTTTTGGCTTTTTGACTTTTTTGACTTTTTTTGTGAGAGAAAAGTGTAATGATTATGGGTTGGATGTGATGTTTTGTTTTTTGTGGTTAAAATAGCCTATTTTGTCTTTTATGACTAAAATAGCCAAAAAAGCCCCAAACTCTTCTTGCCAAACGAACCCTAAAATATTTTTTAGTGTACTTTTCTCAAACATAATAATGTAACATTTCAAAAAAAATTCTTAGTGTATTTTTTCTAAACGTAACACTCCAATCAATATAACATACAAAAATTTCTTAGTGTATTTTTTTTCTTTCCAAATGTAGCACTCTGATGTAACACTAAAAAATCACACTAACATAAATGTAGATTTCCACATTCTATAACCAACACTTTAGCTACCAATTTCCCCAAAAAAATCTTTCACAACTTACGTTTTCATTTCCATCCCAAAAATGAATCAAAAAATTATAAAAATAAATCACAAAAGGATATTCACATAAACTCAAATGACATCAAATCAAATAAATACAAATTTTCAAAATAAAAACAACTAATTGCTTCATAAAAAAACTCTTAAGAGTATATGGATCAACATTCCTCTATGAGATTTATGAATAAATTTTCCTATATTTTCATTTTATCTCATTTATCTTCAAAAAAAATTAAATAATATATATATATTTTAAATAAATCATTTTTTTTAAAGACAAATACAATAAAATAAAAATATTATAATTATCAAAGTAAACTAATTTTTTAATAAATAATATATCAAAAGATTGTATAAAATAAACTATTTGAATTACTGTACACCCCATTAGGGATGTGCAAAATACCGCTCAATCTATTAAAACAGTACCGATCAACACCAATTCACATCGTTCTATCCGTTAATTGTGAATTAAACTTTAAAATTTATAATTTGCCTTCAAAATTGCTCCACTTTACTGTAGTTAATACATATATATTTTTTAACATTTAATGTAATACTAAAGTAAAAACAAATACTCACCAAAAAAAAAAAAAAAGGGAAAATGAGTTAAGAGAGATTTAGGATGTAAAATGTGTTACACATTAATAGTTATATATATAAAAAATGGAAAATATTTGGTGATCACAAATTCTGTGGCTCAAATGGTTCGAAAATGCCAAAACGACGTCGTTTTGACATTTTTAGGGTTGTTTCGTACCCAAAACGACGTCGTTTTAACATTTTCGGGCCATTTGAGTCACAAAATTTGTGGCCACCAATCATTGCTCATAAAAAATATTAGTATGTAAAATTAGTTTGTATTATATATATGAAAAATATTATACAAATTAGTATTATATATTTTTCAATCTACTAATTCGTCCCAAACTACCAAAATCACAATTTGATTATTTACCAATCTACCAATCTACTATTTAATTTATAATTTAACTTTTAAATTGTCTAAACCACACTGTACACACCCACGTATTCCTCAAAACCTCAAGTTGACATTTAAATACTCAAAAGAAGGGACTCACCATTAAAACACCCAATAAAATTCAACCACATACCAAAAAAAAAAAAAAATCAAATATCAATTAAAGTGCCATACAAAATCTTCAAAGAAAATTACCTAAACAAAACAAACATCCTGCACCTCTAAAAATCAAACTTGACACACCCCTGTAGAATAGGGGTGAGCATGGTTCGGATTGGATCGGATTTGGGTAAAATCAGGACCAATTCGTTATTTACGGTTCCTGAAAAATTGGAACCAATTCAATCCGTTTAAATCATTGAACCAATCCGAACCAATCCATTTAAATACGGATTGGATCGGTTTAGGACCACGGATTCACATAATTAAATAACAAAAAAATATATATAACACTTTAATTTTATAAAAATATAAACATAGCGCTATATTAGTTCCACAATAGCAACATCTATTTCTATAATAGTGACATATTGTGCTAGAATTTAAACAACCATAAGAAAACTGGTTTCACCATAACTATTTAAACCATTACAAATTAAAACTAAAAACTAACAAACAAAAGTAATAAAAGAAGATATTATACGGTTTTAGGTTTGAGTTTAGATTTTATATATAATAAGAGAAGATACTATGAGAGATGATGTATAATAAAAATATATACTATTTGTATACGGTACGGATCGGTTCTAATCCGGAACCGTAGGATTCAATCCGGAATCAATTCGTGTACTACGAATTTTTAATTTTTCAATCTGGAACCGAACCACCAATTCAAAAAATCAATCTAAATTTATCAAATTAGACTGAACTGAATCAAATTACAAATTTCACGAATTTCTTACTCAGGCCTACTGTAGAACTGCTGAGCCCACCACGACGGTGGTGAATAACAAGAACGTGTCAATTCACCAAAAGTACCCCAGCGTGGCACAATTCTAGCCACTCTATAGCACATGCAAAATCAGAACCATATAATATCACAGTAAATTACACTATCATACCATACATCATCATCCAGACGAAAATCCAAACCACATTATCCACATCAAATCACAACCGTCCATCTCACAAATCCAACGGTCCAAACCTCCAAAATATCCCAAATCATATCCACCAAAAATATTTACAATAAAACAAACAAAACAAAACAAAACAGTATCAATTCAACCACCACCGCCCCTCACTCCCCACTCGACTGTCCTCCAACCCCAAAAAATGGCCTCCCTAGCCCTCAAAACCTTCGTCGGACTCCGCTACTACACGGCGGACCACCACCGCCACCACCCCACCTCTCTCTCCAAACCCACCACGACCCACAAAAGACTCCACATCATTGCCGGAAAATCCAGCCCCAAAATCACCGGCCGGAACCTCCGCGTCGCCGTCGTGGGCGGCGGACCGGCCGGTGGCGCCGCTGCCGAAACCCTAGCAAAGGGCGGCATCGAGACCTACTTAATCGAACGAAAGCTCGATAATTGCAAACCGTGTGGCGGCGCCATACCGTTGTGTATGGTCGGAGAGTTCGACCTACCATTAGACATCATAGACCGCCGAGTCACCAAAATGAAGATGATCTCTCCGTCCAATGTGGCGGTCGACATAGGTCAAACCTTAAAGCCTCACGAGTACATCGGAATGGTCCGCCGCGAAATCCTCGACTCCTATCTCCGTGACCGCGCTGCCTCCTCCGGCGCCGCCGTGATCAACGGTCTCTTCCTCAAAATGGACAAACCCAAAACCTCCGACGAACCCTACGTCCTCCACTACACCGGCTACGACTCCAAAACCGGCGGCGCCGGCGAGCGGCGGAAGTTGGAAGTGGACGCTGTGATCGGCGCCGACGGAGCTAATTCCCGAGTGGCTAAGTCGATCGAAGCAGGGGATTATGAGTACGCGATTGCGTTTCAGGAGAGGATTAAGATTCCGGATGAGAAAATGCAGTATTATGAGAATCTCGCGGAGATGTATGTTGGAGATGATGTTTCGCCGGATTTCTATGGATGGGTTTTTCCGAAATGTGATCATGTTGCTGTTGGTACCGGAACGGTGACTCACAAGGGAGATATCAAGAAGTTTCAGACCGCCACGAGGCACCGTGCCCGGGATAAGATTCTCGGCGGCCGGATCATCCGGGTCGAGGCTCATCCTATCCCGGAACACCCTCGTCCTCGCCGGATCGCAGACAGAGTCGCGCTCGTCGGCGACGCAGCTGGGTAAGTTTTTTGGTCTATCTTTTCTTTGAACTAAAAATTGGAACTGAATGTCAAATTGATTTCATGGATGAATGATAGCTAAAACTTTTGATTTTTGGGCAAATTAGATTAGTAATTCGTGCATTGTTATTTTGGTTCTTATAATTTCAGTTATTTTGATTTTTTGTCAATTTAATTCAACTAATAACACTTATCTAAAAGAAAATAACGCTGATTAGAAATTTTAAAGTAAAATGTTCACTGAATTGATTAGGGTTAAGTTACTTGAAAGTTAAAGTTATAATTTTGTTTTTAAGAACATAATATATACAGTTTTACGTGCAAAAATTATTAACAATTATTATAAATTAGATCAAATTGGCATAAAATCATAAATTTGAATCATAATCAAACCAGTTGAAATTACATAGACAAAAATGACATAAAAAGTCTATTGAAATTATAGGGACTAAAATGGTATTAGAGTCAAAATATAAGAACTATCGGTATAATTTATCTTATTTTTTATAAAATTTGATTTGATTTATTTTATCTAGATGGAAAAATTATCATTCATTGAGAAATAGAGTAAATATTTACAAAATGTGAAAATCTTTATGGGGGTGAGGTGTTGTAACATTTGCTGTGTTTCTTACATAAGAAAAAATTACACTCGTGTATTTGTAATAACTTTTGATCAACCATCTTGATGTGTTATTATCCATATTTAGATCACTCTTGGACTTGTGGTTGAGTTCGGTCCAAAGGGCGCCCAACATTTTGTTAAGGATGAGGTCCTTCCCACACAAATCGCCTGGACCAAGTCGGGAAATTTTGAATGAAATCTATATAATTTTTTTAAAAATAAATTAGGGTAAATTAGCCATCAGTGGGAACTTGAAATGTATGAAAAAAATTTAAATTTGATCATTAATGTGTAAATTTTTCCAATAAATTATTAGTGAAGGCATGTTTGGTTTATGGTTTTTTAACATCAGCTCTGTAGTAGCTCTTCATCATTGGAGTGGTGCCTCCAATGTTTGTTTGCTTTCTGTTTTATAGAACATATTGTATTAGCATATATGCATTGTTTTTCCAACAGGTACGTGACGAAATGCTCGGGCGAGGGGATCTATTTTGCTGCAAAGAGTGGGAGGATGTGCGCGGAGGCAATAGTGGAGGGGTCGGAGAATGGGAAGAGGATGGTGGAGGAGGGGGACCTGAGGAAGTACTTGGAGAAGTGGGACAAGATGTATTGGCCGACGTATAAGGTGTTGGATGTGTTGCAGAAGGTGTTTTACAGGTCGAATCCAGCTAGGGAGGCGTTTGTGGAAATGTGTGCCGACGAGTATGTACAAAAGATGACTTTTGATAGTTACTTGTATAAGAAGGTTGCGCCTGGGAATCCATTGGAGGACTTGAAGTTGGCTGTGAATACTATCGGGAGCTTGGTGAGAGCAAATGCTCTGAGGAGAGAGATGGAGAAGATGAGTGTATGAGAAAAAGGGACAAAATTGAAGTATTTTATATATGTAATCTCTGTAATTGTTTAGTTTTTGTTTTTTTGGTTTTTGGATTGTGTATGTTTAAATTTGATGAAGAGGTGGAAAATTTTATGAGGTCTATCAAATTACTGATTGAATCTTGTAGTCTATTACAGTAATCAAACATGGCTTAGACCGCTAGACTTTTCAATATAATTGTGTCGCAATCAAATGATTCTATTTTTTTATCCCCTTCCTTTCTCTGTTCTTGCCAACCATCGCCCCTCTATCACCACTACCCTCTCTCAACTACTGTTGGCATCGTTATCTCCCCAACCCTAACCGCCTCTACTGCCACACGTTGTGTATGGACTGCAATATGAAAAGGGTTTTTTATTTGCTAATCGATTTGAATGCATTATGTGAGTCCCTTGGTAACTTAAAAAGTGAAATTGCTGCACCTTGTTCACGGATTGCAATATGAAGAGGATTTTTTGTTTGCAAACTGATTTGAATCTATTATGTAAGTCCCATTGGTAAACTTAAAAAGGGAAATTATTACACTGGTAGTTTCATAAAATTATTACAAATTTAAGAAAAAATTTATAATTTTAATCATTAATATTTATAAATTTTATCACTGATTTATGATTAACTTCTAAAATAGTCAATGAATTGTTATTTTTCCAACTTAAAAAGGGCAATTAGTTAGTTCTTCCATGACAAACTTCACAAGCACCACTTTACATTACATATAGAAGTGAAGACTTGAACATTACATTAGTGAATAAGTTTGTCATGACCAAGACTTTTGGGTTACTCTTAAAAAAAATTTATAAAATAAGTTCAAAAGTGTGTCATAATATGTTCAAATTGACATCCACACCCTCCAAATTTAAACCTTAATTTTCCCCTTTACAATAATGTGAATTGATCAAAATCCAACCTTCCATAATGTTTCTTCAACTACTATAGTAGACACAACCAAAGAAAGGCTGCAGATGGAAGAAATAACACTACAGAACATTGAGGTTCAGATTTTAGAGCAATATATTTGAACAAGAAAAGCAGTCAGACAAGAGAGACCTAATCTCCTCTTCTTCTTCTTCGTCTTCCCAAGTCCCATAGAAATCTACAGTTGTTGCATTTGTATTACTTGCGCGGATACTGCTAGAAGAAGAAGAAGAAGAGTGAGGATCCACCGCCCCCATCAGCTTCCTCTTCTTGTAGCTAGCCTTAAAACAAGCTTGCCTTAGCCTCTTTGTTTTGTCTTCAAGTTGCATATCAGGGACCTCTTCCATCAACTTTCTTTCTTGCTCCAATACATCAATAGCCTCCTTCAGCCTTCCCTCAGCACCTTTTGTTTCTCCCTTATCCATTTCCTGCACAAGCACAACCCATTTATATGTGTGCTTTCTCTTTCACATATATATATAGTTATGTAGTATTATAATTTGAACATTGATGTGAACACAAAAGTTTTTTATTCTAAAATGACTATTATAGGATTTTCTCCCATTCATTATCAAATTGGAGGGATCAGATGGGGGTTGCAAGCCCACATTGTATGCATCTCATGATCTGGAAAATTATCATGCAGAGGTGCAACAAGTAGATTATTTATGTAAAAACTAAGTTTAATTCACAATCTCAATAACTTCATAATCGAAACATTTTTTTCTTCAAAAAATGAATGATAAGTATAATTTCAAGAATAGACTATCCATTTTTTTTTTACAACAAATGTTACTCAATCATGTGACACCAATATACAATAAATCTATTTTTTGCATAAATAATTTACTTGCCAAACTCCACAGGTCTAACCATTTGAATCACTAAAAATGAGCACAAAAGTGAGCCCACATTCCCTCGACAGACCCTCGAATGATAGGATGGAAGCCTCTTCCTTCTACAATTTTTTTTTTTTTTTAATCCAAATATTCATGTCTCTGCTAAATGTTGAGGATAATTAAAGAAACTCAACGATTAACACATCTAACAACTTTTCTTTTTTTTTCTTTTTCTTTTTATAATCTTTGCACCATATCACTCTCTTTTTGCACTTGACATAGGGCTAAAGTTGCATATGCATACACTAAGACCAAGAGAAAGAAAGGAAGGTACCTGAACATTCTTGATTAGGGTTTGGAGGCTCATCAACTTTCTATGAGGCCACCGACGAATACCCAATATAAAATTACACTTTTTCTTCAAAAAAATCAACCCTATATTCATTTCCTTTGCAGCCTGTGTTATTGGCATATAGAAGTACTCAGATATTGTCTTTCTTGACAATGTCTTTGAACTGTTACTCTTCTCCTCTCTGCATCTTTTATTATTAACCCTCTTTTCTTTAACATACTCCTCTTGAGTTTCCGCATTATTGTCACACAGTAGCAATGGTTGGTTCTGACTATGAGGCTCTATTTCAAACCCAAAAGGACTTTTTTCTTGATTCAAAACTCCATACCCATTTCCATATCCAAACAAGAAATCTTCTGCAGCAAACAACAGTTTGATCAACTCTATACACAATTAAGAAAACTCAATAGATAGTGGAAAAGCTTTTCGACTTACTTTCAATTTTAGTAATCTTTTCTAAAACTATGTCAAAATAGGACACTACACATTTTAAATCATTTCAAAGACAAAAAATTAAAAATTAAAAAAAAAATCACTAAATAAGAAAATAAGTCAAATTTTGTCCCAAAAAATATACTATAAGTTGCTATTTCTTTTGTATTACTGAATTTTTTTAATTTTTTAGGATCGTGTAATCTAAACAAATCTATTTTAATTCAAAATTAAAAAATACTAAAAATAAAACTTATAAATTGTGGCAAAAGAATTAAGTAAAAGTGATCACCTTGGATTGCACTTGGGCTAGGCACAAGATCCAATGTTGAACACGAAGGATGAGTTGGGTAAATCCCCATCAAAGGCAAAGCATCCACAACACTCTCTTGCATTGAAAGATGATCATACTGACAATCCAATGCAGAGTAACCACTTCAACAGAACAAGAACATAAAAAGGTGATGTCAAACTATAATTTAAAAATATATATTTTTAAAATTAAAGATATAAAAAAAATTATATATAGAAAACATTCATAGAATAATGTCACATAATTATGAGCATACCTTTTTGTAACGGAAAGAGTAATGATAACATATATATATATATATACACAGAATGTTTTTGTGTTGTATTGTATTTTTTCATTTTAAATCAAAACATCAACTATATTTTAGTACCAAATCATACTGAATAAATTTTTTGGTATGAAAAATCTGTTTGTAAATTATTTTTCAAAAATAAAAAATGAAAAACTATGCTTCTTTATATATTTTCCTAATTATGTTACAAAAGAAGAATAAAGGTCAAGGAGAAATTCAAATAGAGATTAAACCCTAAAAGAGTTTCAGCGTAATTTTACCTGAAATCAAGTGGAGGAAGTACTTGGGTTGGAAAGGTGAAAGTGTCTTCATCTCCTTGTTTAGCCATAACTTCATATCTTGACCATTCATCCACCACCCACTGACTTCCCATCTCCATTTTCTTCAGAGAGAGAGAGAGAATCGTTCTAGTTTTTTGTAGTTCACTAATGACCGATTAGCCACTTTGCATGAAATGGAACAAATATAGAGATGATAAGGAAGAGAGGAGAGAGAGAGAGAGAGAGCCGAGGCAATGTGTTATATGATTATGAGTATCTGTGAATGTGTAATTTGCAATTAATTACAACTATATTGAAGATTGTGAGCCGTCGGATTGATAATAACTGGCCACCTCATGCATCATATGAATTAACCATTGATCATTGTGTTTTTTTGTGCATGTGTGAATGTTAATAATACACATATAAATAAGAGAGTAGAGATGTGGAAATTAATAAGGTAAATTATATTAACAGTTCTTATAATTTGGGACTCGTATCATTTTAATTCTTGACTTTTTAATTGTACATATTTGATCTTGAATTTTGAATTTTATTTCAAATAAAGACAATTGAAAACCATTACTCAATTTGAAAAGCAAAGTCGTCAATTAGGTAATAAACTAATTTGAAAAGAATAAATATCACAAAAAATATTTTTAAATTTTTAAAAACTATTTCTACTCACCAAAGATAAAATTATGTAAAATTGATAAATTTCTTACTCATTTATTTATTTTATCAAATTAATTTTTATTACGTGTTTGGATGATGATCATATATGAGTGGTTGTTAGGCTTTTAATGTGTAAGCGATATATTTAATCGATGAAATATTTTTAGTTTTAGAATTTTTGATTTAGTGGATTAGTTTAATAATGATATCAAAGTTATCGTCATATTTGATTTTTGAAAAAATATAAACCAATTTAATGAAAATAAAAATAACTACCTATTACGTAATCATCATCCAAAAACACAATAAAAATTAATTTGGTAAAAAAAAAAATTAGTTTATATTTTATCAAATTGACGATTTTGCACTTGAAATTAAACAATGGTATCTTCAATTATCCTTATTTAGAACAAGTTTTGAAATTTAGAGTTAAATGTGTTACAATTGAAAAATTAAAGATCAAAGTGACACAAATCTCAAACTATAGAGACCATTAATGTAATTTGCTCAAATTAATATAATTTTGTTGGCTTAATCATATTTTGTACCTTGTAATTTAGTTAAAGTTGCATTTTTTTAGCCTTGTAAAATTAAAATTTTTGCACTCTCTCGTTTTGTAAAGGTTATGTTTTGGCCACTTATAAAAATAAGAGAAAATTACCCGTGGTATTTTTAAAATTTTATTACACAATCATGCAAAAATATTATAATTATAATTACTCATATTTATAAGTATATAATTTTTCTGTAATTATTTTTTAAAATTTTTATGAATTTAAAATTTCCCCTAAAATAAAATGTTGTACTCTGCAACATATAATTTTGTTTATATTGTAGTTTTTTTTTTTTTTTCATCAGAAAAGTATATATTGCATTTTGATAGCCTTCCTTAATAAAAGCAAAATATTTTCAAAACTTGATAGAGAAAAATAAAAATACAAATGGGTTGCGATTACTTTATCAACTCAAATCCTAAACCTTTGTCATTTTCACTCTCTTAAAAGATATTTACATAGACCACTATAGACCATCTACCCTGTCCAACAATAAAAAATCTCATTCATTCATCTATTTTTGCGTGCCCAACTCTTTATTTAGTTTTTGTGTTCTTCGGTGTATTATTCTCAATTGATCCTCTAATTAGACTCAAATCTTTACATGAAGTGCTTTACTTGATCACTTTCAATTTGTGGCATGGATATGCATAGTGTAACACGCCTATCGTCTACAACTAGAGAAAAATGCATAATATCATTCATTATTGAGAGATAAGTTTTGAAGGGGTAACAATAAAAACTTATTGATTGTAATTCCTATTTATTATCATTGCCAAAATTTATTCTCTCCCCATTGCATGGGAGTGGTGGTGAGCTCATGATGTGTATCATTGCTAGTTAAAGATTTAAATGGGGAGGTTACAATACTAGCATCACAATAGTTCAATTATATAATTTATGAGTCATGGCCCCGTTTGTTTGGAAAGTTAGAAGAGAGATTGAGATTAGTAGTGAGGTGGGATCTACTAATATTGTATTTGTTTTGAGAGATAGGGAGGAGATTAATAGTGAGCTCAGGCTTAGGATGGGTCTCCCCAAGGAGATTCGGATGGACCTCCAGGACTTGGTATTAAAAAAATAGTTCGGCGGACTAGAAATTTTTTTTTTATTTTATTTTCTACATGTCGGGCATTTTTTTTTAACATTAATGTTTAATTTTTTATATTTTTTGTTAAGTAAAAATTATTATTTTATTTATTTTTGGAAATTTTTTATTTTATTTTTATTTTTTCAAAATTTTTTACATGTCGGGCATTTTTTTAAAAACATTAATGTTTAATGTTTTTGTATTTTTTTATTTGTTTTATTATTTTATATTTAGTTTACATAAAAATAATTTAACAATACCTATACTAACAACTATTATCAAAACAAACACAATTTTACTTAATCCCTTCACTATTAATCTTCTCACTATCAATCTTCTCCATTCTACCTCTGAAAACAAACGGGGAGTAATGATTATCTTGCAATTTAATTTGGGAATTGGTGTGGCTGCTATGCGGGGGTGCATAGCAGCCACTGCTGTGCGGCCAATTGGGCCATTTTTGGGCCTATTTTGATAATTCGAACTGTTCACATTTTAAAATACATCAAGTAAAATATACCTGTAAAAAATCAAGTTAATTGGATATTGTTTATCCATTCATCCACTCACATTTGTATTCATTTTAATATTTTAAATTACAATTGTTATTTATTTTTGTAGATATAAATGTGAGTGGATGAATGGGTAAACGATATTCGATTAACTTGATTTTTTACAAGTATATTTTACTTGATGTATTCTAAAATATGAACGATTCGAATTATCAAAATAGATCCCAAAAAAAGCCCAAATGGCTGCACAGCAATAGCTGATGTGCACCCCGCACAGCAGCCACCCCAATTCCATTTATTTGTCATGATCAAAGTGAGGAGGTCACAAAATTACTTTCACATGATCATCAAAAGACTATGATTTTATTATTGCAATAAAATTCTCTTTCCTTTTTTTTTTTTTTTTTGGATAATTGCTTTCGAATTATCATTGACAACAAAAAAATAAAAATAAATAAATAATAAATAATATACATGTAAGAAGCTCACCAAAAAATTGGAGTCAATAAGATGAAATCTTTAACATTTAAATCATCAATATTTGGGTTAATTCTGTATAGTATGATTCTTTTGAAAAGCCATTTAGTAGCAATGCATTAGTTTTGTGAGATGTCCCAAGCCATACATTCAATCGCTGCCCATGCCCAAATTTCCTCGTGTGTCTCGTGCCACTTGAATTTTTCTTTTTCTTTTTTTTTTTGATCTATTATTAATTGTGCAGGAAGATGAACAGCATCTAAACTATTAATTTACAACCAAACAAAAAATTTGATAACGTGATGAGCATCCGATACCTGGACTGGACATCCAATTTGGATGTGATTGAACTGGAAGCTCATCCCAAAAAGAAGCATCATGCATACTCACTGTGCATTGATCGCCGGACACACTCAACTACACTACTTTCATGGCTTATGGCACAGCCATCTTTTTACCATCAGAGTGATCTCATTTTCTTGTTTCAGCCAGCTTAAACCTGCATATGAATTAGGACCAATTGTCCCAGGCAGGAAAATCTTAGACTGCTTTCAAGCCCTAATTGTAAACATATCACAAAAATTCCTGTTGCAAACAATAAATCGCTAAATCTTTTTGATACATGGCATCTTCCAAAATTCTATTGAAATTCAAAATTTTGATACCATAGCAGTTTGGCTAAATATTAACTAAAACAAAAACACCACCTGGTAATGTTTCATCATCTACTACATATCCAACCTCTCCATCACAGGTAGAACAGATGACACCTCAGTTTTTCAACTTACCTCCTCTTCCACGGCCGCGTCCATAGCCACGGCCACGCCCGCCTCCTCTTCCGCCACCGCCACCACCTCTTTTTCCGTGGCCTCCACCACCACCTCCCAATGCCTTGTTGACATCAGATTTTGCTAGCATGTTTTCTGGCAAGGGAAGTATACGGTCCACACACTTTCTGAAGCTGAAATCATCAACTGATTCATCGTTTCTTATGATGAAGAAGCATCGACTTTTAAACTGGGGATGGAACCGGACTTGGAAGGCAGAGATTCCATTGCCAATCTTTTTCTCTGGTTCTGGATGACCCTTCTTAAGCAATTCCAACAACACCATCTGCTCAAACTGCAATACACAAACAAGGAAACACTAGTTTGAGTAGCATGAAACTCCAAAGTAAAACTAAAACATGCAATCAAGTCCAATTCAAAAACACATGCTATCTAATAAAAATTATTTTGTATGGTATACTTCATATTATCAATCCATTTGTTTGGATGGAAAACATTTTTTACGGAAAACTTTTTCCAAGAAATGTTTTTCTGGAGAAAACATTTTTCTATGTTTGGTGGTGGTGGGGGTGGAACGAAGGCGAAGGTGGATGTGGTGGCATGGTGGTGGAGTGGCGGCGGTGGTGATAGCGACTATGATGGTGGCACTAGCAGTGGCCGTGGTGATGGTGCCATGGTGGTGAAGGTGTGAGAGTGGTGGCGATAATGTGGTGACTTTGGTAAAACTTTAGTCCATAAAATGTTTTTCGACTTTTAAAAGTAGAAAACATTTTATGCCCATATAAGCTTGTTTTCTGTTGACCATGGAAAATATTTTCCGCTGACTTTCATTTGCTATTGTACCAAACACCAGAAAATAAGGAACACATTTTCCAGAAAATGTTTTCTATCCAAACAAACAGAGTGTATGTACAAAAATTATTCTCAATTTACATGAATTTAACAAGCAAGCAGCCAAGGACAGTTTCCTCCAACACACAAACAAACGTATGCATATTTTATATATACAGCTTATTGCATTGATCTACAACCTTATGCATCCAATTTATTAAAGACTCTACTTTTAGTTTACCCTTCCAAAAAGAGTACAGAAAGCAAAAGGATTACACCAAACTAGTATATACAGAAATCAGCAAAATATATAGAAGAGGAAACCTTAGGAGATTACCAGGGAGATAAATGACAGCACCAGAGACGGAGCCAGGATTTCAAGATAGGGGGGCCAAACAATATGTATATCCAACTCCAGCTACATTTACGTTTTTATAGATTCTAGTTTGAAAATTACAACATATCGAAATATATCAAATAGTCAATATAAACAGAGATACTTTAATAAAAAGGCAAAAATCAACAAATCAAAACTAAATAGTTTTTTTTCTTCAATTACATCTATCAAAATTGAACTTAGTGTTCTTTTTTATCACGGAATTCATCTATGATTGAATTTGTACTACTTATTTAGCAATTTTCTTTTCAATTTACGGAATTAGTTATTGCCTTCAAGTCTTATCAATTATTTTATATTTATTTGGTCAAAATAAATAATATTTTATTAAACATATATACTATATATGCATAGGTTATGGCAAACACGCATAGTAGGGCTATGTCCCTGGATAGCACTGGAGGCAAAATTAGAGGAATATTATACAAGCAAATTATAGATAATTACAGGGTTCTCCTCATGCACCACACAAGGGTTAAGGATGTGTTCTTCACAACCAAATTGAGGTGATAAACCACTAAAAATGCGAAAGCTAAATGACCATAGTGCAGGGTATAGCAGCTTCGCAGAATCATGTAATCATACTTTCAGTTATTGATGTAAAGGACACCGTGCGTTGCATCAACAAGATATGTCAAATTGGCTTAATAAGCATGAAAAAAATACAGAAGAAATTTTTTTAAAAAAAAGACACGGGTACACAAAGCCCACATCAGAATGCCAAAGTTACATAATCCCACTGAATCCATAAAAATCCTAGTTAACCGAAAGAATCATTTTCTGTATTCTTTTTGTCCATGAAAACCCACCACAGCCTTAGTTAAATACAGACAAGAATATTGCTCTTCCCTAAATTCCAAAATCAGTTTCCCAAAAGGGTTATTCATGTAATTCTAAGGCCTCTAATCTCCAACTTGCTTCAAGCAAATCTCATCCTGATCAATTAGATGATTCCAACTCCCATCTTCAATTTCATGAGACACAAAGCCTGAATTGCTAAAGCCCACTGACCAACAGCTTACATAAGAAGCACTCAAGCGACATCACTACACCATCTCTTAGCAGAAGAATATAAGAAAACCTAAATAAATATTCGCCTATCCGTATCGGGATTTTGGAATTCAGATACACATATTCACCAATACATCATATCTATATTGGCTGATATATGACCGCATCAGCGATACTAAAATTCATAAATGAGGTTACACTACACTATCATATCTTCAATTCACCAACACTAGTCAATCATATTTACATTACAAAGTAAATAATAATAAAAAATAGCAAATCACAACAAAAAGTACACACATAAGATGAAGAAAAAACAAAATAGGTACATTTGAAGTATATTACCTTGTTGACATTGACATTGGGGGCCCAATAATGAAGGAACTTGTAGAAGTAATCGAACATGTCCACCGAGGATACGAAACTCTTGGGTCCAACGCTGACCCGATCCGACTCCTTATCTCCCTCAGTTCCTTCCAGTTGATCCAATCGGCCTTCCTCGGCGGACTTCTCAACCTTGAGCTTCTTGGCGCCGGCGCTATCGTCGCCGGATACGAAACTCTTAGGTCCAACGCTGACCCGATCCGATTCCTTATCTCCCTCAGTTCCTTCCAGTTGATCCAATCGGTCTTCCTCGGCGGACTTCTCAACCTTGAGCTTCTTGGCGCCGGCGCTATCGTCGCCGGATACGAAACTCTTAGGTCCAACGCTGACCCGATCCGACTCCTTATCTCCCTCAGTTCCTTCCAGTCGGTCTTCCTCTGGGGACTTCTCAACCTTGAGCTTCTTGGCGCCGGCGCTATCCTCGCCGGAATCTTCCCTGGAACGCTTCGAGTCGGCGGCGGGGAGTTGTTCTTCGGTGGCGGCGATTGGGGTTTCAAGGTCCATGTCTTGGGTGGAGGGCTCTGCTTCTATGAGGGTTTCGGAGGCATTAGTTGTTGCTGCAGATTCGGCCATTGCTGAGAGAGATCTTTTGCGAAGAAGAGACGCCACACCAAAAACCCTAGCTTTACTTTAACACTATGTTTGGATAAGGAAGAAGTAGAAGAAAAAAATATTTTCATTATTTTTTAGTTAGATTTCATTGAAAAAAAAAATGTTATATTATCAAAATAGTATTTTTATATTTTCAATTTTTTTTTTTAATTTTTATAGGGACAAAATTGATATTATGAAAATAGTGATTTCATTTCTCTCTCAATCTTTTCACTTTTGGAAATATTAAAAATGAGACTTATAAGAGAAATGAGTTTCTCTCTATTTCTTCTCATTTCTCTTCACTTAAATTATTCAAACAAATAAAAAAAATATATATCTCTTTAATTTTTTTCTTTTTTCTCCAAACCCTAGACAAATACTAATCACCTTGATTGTTTTCACTTTTCAAAAAATTCTACTTTCTTATTTTTTTTGTTTTTTTGTTTTTATTGAATTTTTTTTAATATTTTAAGTAATTTTTTTACTTTTTAGACATACCTAACATAAATACATCTAAAAAATAAAAAAATTGTAAAAAAAGTCTTTTTAAAAATTCACTAAATACTAAAAATATAAAAAAAATACAAGAATTTAGTACATTTTTTATATTTTTATGTATTTATTAATTTTTTAAAATATTTTTTTCTAAATTTTTTATTTTTTAGATACATCTAAGTAAGGTGCATCTAAAAAAGTAAAAAAAATGCTTAAAATTTAAAAAATATTCACTAAAAACAAAAAAATCAAAAAATGTTTTTTTATAAATTTTTTATTTTTTAAATACATCTAAGTAAGGTGCATCTAAAAAAGTAAAAAAAAATGTTTAAAATTTAAAAAATATTCACTAAAAACAAAAAAATAAAAAAACATAAAAATCAAAAAAATTAATTTTTAAAAAACTTAATTCAGAAAACGTAAATCAAACACACTAAATATTCTTTTTTTTTTTAGATGCTCGGTTTTATATCGCCTGCGTGAATCAATTGTTGCAAATATTATTCATGGTTTGGTTGCAATTTTTGAACAATTTTTTTTTATATTATTATTATTAGTGAGTTTTTTTTAATATTTTAAGTAAAAAAATTTTATTAGATGCACTTAAAAAAGTAAAATATTTTTAAAAATACATAAGAGTAAGAAAATATATTGAATTTTTATATTTTTGATATTTAGTGAATTTTGTAAAGATTTTTTTATAAATATTATATTTTTTAAGTGTGTTTATGTTAGATGTATCTAAAAATAAATAAATAAAAAATTACTTAAAATATTAAAAAATAGTAGAAACAAAAAAAATATAGAAAATAAAAAATCCAAATTTTTAAAATGGATTCAAAATTCTCAAACCAAATAAGGTGATTAATTTTTTTTAAATCAAATAATTTTTTGGAAAAATTTTTTTAAGGTCCCTAATAATAGTAATTTAGAGTATAAAGGATACCCAAAAATGGGTGATGCATCAGGTCCCCCAAATATATGGCACATATTTTTAATTATTTCATGGACCAAAATACCCTTCACAAATCAACACAGCAATGAAACTGGATTCCGACAACTGAGTTCCATTCCAAACATCCAACCATCTTTACGAGCAAGAGAACAGCATAATTAGAGTTTCAATATCATCTTCACCATCGACATTAGAGTTTCATTATCGTTTGCCAAAATCCTTCCCATTCATTTCTCACAAATTTCTCTGACCTCATTTTCACTGTTCATTGTCATCTCAATTCATCTCCGTCACATTGCATTTTCATCTTAGGGCATATCAGTTCGTAATTAGCGTTTCATCCTAACTTTGGTAAGTTTTTCTACAATCCAACGAGTTTTTCTCTGAAAACACAGTTAATTGCATTTTATATTAACCTTCCATTAATGAAGGTTTCAATTTCGTAATAAAAAGTTACATGAATTTGAAAAAAGTTATTTTTCTATGTTTTGAATCTTATTCTTGAACATTTGTGTGATTTTATTTGTAAATTTCTCTGGCATTTGAATTTCTCTAGTATTTGCTTGATTTATGTTTCTTCTTTGAATTTTCTCTTGCATGTTTATTTTGAAAAAAGTTATTTCTCTGTGTTTTGATCTTATTTTTGAACATATTTGTGTGATTTTGTCTGTAAATTTCTCTGGAATATCTATTTTTCTCAAGAATGTGTAATTTTCTTAGGAATCTTCATTTTCTATGCCTACTAAATTTATGTTTCTTTTTTGAATTTTCTCTTACTATATTTTACATCTATATGTAATATTACTCTCTTATTTGTGTCTAAATTTTTCTGGCATTTATAATTTTCTCTAGTTACATCACTTTTCTCCCTTGTGTGTCTCTATCATATTTGATTTTCTCTTGTTGTGTATGTAAATTTCTTTGGCATTTTAATATTATAGATTGGAAAATTTCTCTGGAATGGAAATTTTCTCTAGAATGGAAATTTTCTCTAGAATGTGTAATTTTCTCTGGCATTTTCATTTTCTATGCTTGCTAGGTTTATGTTTCTTTCTTGAATTTTCTCTGGCTATATTTTACATCTATATGTAATTTGTAGCAATTTTTGAAAATTTCTCTGTCATATTTATGTTGCTTTGGTTATTTTCTCTGGGAATGAAAATTAGTTGTGGTCACATGTATTCCACACAAAAACACGTAATATTCTCTTGTTAGTGTCTAAGTTTCTCTGAAATTTATAATTTTCTCTAACCACATTAGTTTTCTCCCTTGTGTCTGTCTGTCGTGTTCAATTTTCTCTAGTATGTTTATTTTGTTCAATTCTTAGTTTCAATGTTGTGTAATTTTCCGTGGCATGTTTACGTTGCTTTATTTATTTTATCTTGCTAATTGTGGAATGAAAATTTTCTCTAACTTGCCATGTTTATTTTTCTCTGTCATATTAATTTTGTGTGCTTGCTAAATATATGTTTCTTTTTTGAATTTTCTCTGACTATATTTCACTTCTATATGTAATTTTAACAATTATTGAAATTTTTTCTAGTATGTTTATGTTGCTTTGTTGACTTTCTCTGGGAATGAAAATTTTCTATGGCTAGATGTATTCTACAGGAAAGCAATTAGTACTCTAACATTTAATTTTCAGTGTCTAATTTTCTCTCACATTTATAATTTTCTCTGGCCACCTTAGTTTTCTCCCTTATGTGTAATTTTCTATGACATGTCCAATTTTTCTCTAGCATGTTCAATTTTCTCTGGGATTTAATGTTGACATCTTTATGTTTTTATCATTATCTAAAAATGGAAAAACGTAAAAGTAGCAAAACACCAGAAACACCGAACAAGAAACAAAAACTCTCTCAGTCTTCTTATGATCTAAGATCAAAAAGCAGCAAAACACCACAAACTCCTTTCCAAAACACACAAGTCCACGGTGATGAAGCAACTAGCATCAAGATGAATACCCCAACTTCAAAAGACTTAAGCTCAATGGGGGAAAAACCTATTAAACTCCAAAGAAAGAGAGCTCATTACAGCATTCAATACCGATCTAACCTCTCATCTGTTGTCTCCTTTTTTCAAACGCTTAAATTCAATTCAAACCAAATTGTAGAGCTTCAAAAGACCCCATTCTAGTATTTGATCCAAGTTCTAACCACTGGAAGGATGGATCTAAGGAAATCTAGGAAATCTGATGATGATGTAGTTACAATAATCCAACGTTACAATGAAAAAACAAAAGCATTCATAGTTGGTAAAAAGAACTTGACCTTTACAACCAATGACATGACCTTGGTTTTTGATTTGCAATAGGGCTGAGCAAGGAATCCATAAAGTCGTAATCCGATCCAGTCCAATCCAATCCGGTACGTTTGGATTGTTGTTTGAATCTGGGGTTCGGTTTCGGGTTGAAGAATTAAAAATTCGTAGTCTACGGATTGGTTCCGGATTGGAACCGATCCGGACCGTATACAAATAGTCTATATTTTTATTATATATCCTCCCCCATAGTATCTTCTCTTATTCTATACAAAACCTAAACTCAAACCTCAACCTGCATAATATCTTCTTTTATCACTTTTGTTTGTTAGTTTGTTAGTTTTAATTTGTAATGGTCTAAATACTTATGGCGAAACCAGTTTTCTTATGGTTGTTTAAATTCTAGAACAGCGTTGCTATTATAGAAAGACATGTAACTATTGTGGAACTAATATAGCGCTATGTTTATATTTTTATGAAATTAAAGTGTTATATACATATATATTTTTGTTATTTAATTATGTGAATCCGTAGTCCTAAACCAATCCAATCCGTATTTAAATGGATTTGTTCGGATTGGTTCCATGATTTAAACGGATTGGATTGGTTCCAATTTTTCAAGAATCGTAGATAACGGATTGGTCTTGGTTTTACCCCAATCCGGTCTAATTCGGACCATGCTCACCCTTAGTTTGCAATGAGGTAAAGGAGCCATGTCATTAAGATACTCTAAAAAGTCAAAATTTGCATTTCTAAGGAGAAGATTCCCAAAGGACACAAGGCTCACTGGTCATGTTCTTAAAAATGCCTTGGTCAAAGCAATAAAAGGCAAATAACCAACTAACTTCAAAAATGTAGCAATCATTGTTATCTTGTACTTGTGTCTCGCCCTATTTTTTGTAACAAGTGAGAATTCAATAGGGTGGGTTTTTATAAAATATGTGGAACCTCTTGAATCAATGAAGCAACATGATTGGCCAGAAGCAATCACATCAACATTAATCGATTCTATCACAGCATTGCACAAAACTCCAGAAAAGTTATGGGGTATGTCATTGCATTGCTAGTAAGTATAATTTCCATTCAAATTTACAGTTATGATACTTACAAATTTGTGTATTTAGCAAAATTTAATTACTTTAATTTCCATCACAATATTGGCTATGTGAACATGCGAATATCATTGACTCGGAAGATAGTAACACAACTGACTTCCCAAGATGTGCCAAGTAGAACCTGCAAAGCTTGACCAAACAGCTACAGAAGACACCAGTCCACTCTCTTGCACCTCGATAGGTTAGATTTCTATCGCCACTGAAATCTCAGTGAAATTTCAAAATTTCTCTAAC